ACTCCATCTACACAAACCTGCAGAAAACCCACTGAGACAATACCAACCAAACTTGTTAAGTTATCTCTGTTTTTGTCATTTCTACTGAGTCAACTTCAGTCTGATTGATATCATCTCAAGCCAACAACAACAAAACAAGTTTTCTGAAAATCTCCAAACATGGAGTTCTGATCTGTTTTTGCAGATGAACTCTTCATGTGTTCCTGCTGGAGCCTCTTGACCAGCTCATGTTTCCAAATCACAGCTGGTTCTCAAACGTTTCTACCTGATAAAACAAAGCTCAGATCAGTAAATATAACGCTGGTCTGCACCCATTTTGGTGTCAAAGCTGTTTGAGCTGATTTTGCAATGAGCTGAATCCAAATATCACGTTGGTTTTGCTCAACGAGGTCAAAATTTAGATTTGATGAAACTTGTATTTACCTTTACAGATGTTTACGCTCATCAACTTGTGGCTCATTTAGCTCATGAAAAGGATTAGAAAATGACATTTTTCCTCTAAAATCCTATTTCATATGAGAAATACTAAAATAAATAAATCGCTAATGTCAATAAATGTCATCGATTTAGTGGAAAAATCTTTTTTTTGGCATTAAAACGTGACCTGATACAGAAAAGCAGACGTCATGTTTGGATTCAGCGTTCAGTAAATCATTTAACAAATCCTCGACACCTTCAGAAAACTATTGTTTTGTAACCCAGTGTTATTTTACTTCCTCCTCTATAAATACAGAGCTACTTTGTGGGGCACCATCACTGCGTCCTGGAGCTCGTCCTAATGCTAAGCTAATGAGCTAATTGTGTCCTGATGCTGCCTTTATTAACGAGGACACTCATCTGCTCATGTTGCCCTCTTTTATAATACGATTACTATCTTTTATATAGAATAGAATAAAACTTTATTGATCCCTTCGGTGTAAACCTCAGGGAAATTGTTATACTAGAAAAACAACACAACACTAACACAACAGTAAATATTCAACAACAATAATAATAATAATAATAATATCACTGTTCCTTTCATGCATCTTTGCCTCCGTACCCTCGTCTTGTTGCTGAACAGCTGCTGTTCAAACATATTTATCTTGTTAATTCTTATATTTTACACTCCTCTGCAGTCTAAACAACATATAACAGCAATTCAGTGGTTCAAACTTTACAAGGCGTCTGGAAAAGAGCTCTTTAGTGACTCAAACTCTGGACAAGCAGTGGAAGCAAACAGGAAAGGCTGAGCTGAGGTGATTTGCATGTTTGACAGCAGCTGTGCAGCGGCTGTGCTGAAGCCTGATCCTGTGTGTGTTCACCTCAGTCACTAAGTTTAATGGACATAATGTTTTACTGAAGCTCCTGACTGGACTGGTGTGATTAGCTAATGAGGTTTTTATGCTGCTTTTAAATGTGCTTTTAAATACTTTTGACTTTGACCGTTTATTCTAAAAAAAATCTAATCTACCTCTACATCTAATCTAAAAAATAAAAACCCAACGATTTCCCTAAAGTACCCCACCAAAGGGATCAATAAAGTTCTATCTAATTGAATCTATAATTTTAAAAAAAGAAAAAACGACATTATAATCTAAATCCTAATGATATTATTTTACTTCCCCTGATATAAAAACATCAGTAAACATGTTAAGAAATGAGGCAAACATGATAATAAATTGACTAAAATTAATTTTTTAAATGTGTTAATTATATAAAGGTGTTAATAAATGGGCTAATTAGCTGTTTATGAAAATAAATGATGAGAAAAAAAATCATAAATCAGCTGTACGTGGTAATAAATACAGTAAAGGTGATCATAAGTGAGCTAAAGATGGTCATAAATGAACTCAATATAGGGCTAAAGGCGATAATAAATGACCTATATGTAATAATAAATAATGGAAGGTAACCATAAATGTGCTGAACGTGATAATAAATCATGTCAAGGAGCTGATAAGTCCGCTGTATGTGATCATAAAGGACGAACCTGTGATAATAAATGAAATGTATATGTTAATATGTGATGTAAAGTTAATTATAAATGAGTTCTATATTATAAGAAATCAATTAAAGGTGATAATAAATAATTTAAAAAAAGAATGTAAATATGAAAATAAATGAACCAATGTAATAATAAACGATCTAAAAGCCTGTATAAGATAATAAATTAAATATGTATTGTATAAAGGTGATAACAAATTCTGTAAATGTGAGAATAAATGAGTTAAAAACCTTTAATCACTGGAATTCTTTAACTGGAGGCAGATTGAACATCACCTGAGTTTCTTTATTTATACAGCTGGAGGAGATTTTTACTTTTCTGCTGCAGATCTCAACGAGTCCAGACTATTTATTCTGTTTTCTTGATCCAACCTTCAAAGAATAAAAGAACGAGCTGCTGAAATCAGGAGGAAAAAACCTTTGTTGTCCCTAAAATGTGCTATTTTTTTCTCGCGATGATAAACAGCGGATTTGAGCAAATTAAAATAAAAAAAGCTGAAAATTAAAATACATTTCTCGTGTTTTTTTTTTTTTTGTGTCTTTTGGTTTGTGTCGCGTTTTAATACCACGGCCTGCTTTGTGGAAAAGGCCAAACAACGATGTTCTGCTGCGTAATGGTTCAAACGCGTCATTTAAAAGAGTAAATACCGTCGCAGGCACTTCAAGACGTTTCACAAATCTGCACCAAGTGTTCGACCATTACAACAGACAGACAGACAGACAGACAGACAGACAGACAGACTCCTCTCTTCCTGGACCGAAGCATTAATTAATGAGCCGCAGACGCTCAGAGTGTCACTGTTTAATTCTATTTGTCGGTTTGGAGGCTGAAGTTCCACCTGAATGCGTTTCAAATAAAAAGATAAAATAAAAAACAGTCGGTTTGTCATCAGAAATAATTTACTTTCTAACATTTACAGTGTGAATAATTGACACCAAAGAGAGATTCGCCTCATAAAGTCACTTTTACGCATTTTTGGCGTCAGTTTTAATCGAAAATAAACTCAGTCAGACTCAGAAACAGATTCTGTTTGTTTGTTATTTAGGTCGCTGCTTTTATTCAGAGCAAAGGTAGAATCACAATAAATTATGTTTGGTTGTATTTTCCATTTTTTTTTATCTAGTTATAGGCGTTATGAATTTATCTTTATCCAATCTGTGTTTTTATTTTTAATAGAAATTCATTTTCCTGACATGGAGGTCAAAGCTCCACATGTTCCATATTTTAGTGGCCAAGTGTAAATATACAGAAATACTAAGTAAAGTACTTTATTAATGCACCCTGATTATGAGCACTAATTGTTCATAACACCGAGTTCCATTTTATATCGATATGTTTAGTTTCAGTTGGTGCGCATGATCCCTTCACTTCTCTGTGCTGCTGAATTATTCCCTCTGGTTCCTGCTTAGTTTCTTATCAGACTAGTGTTTATGAAGAGAACTCATTCGCATTTATTTCCCTATAAAAACACCAGCAGCTTTCACTTTTCACCACATTTTACTGCAGAGTTACAGCTCCAAAACGGCTGCTTAAACCGACATCCGATAAAAGCTTTAACTGTGTCTTTTATTGTCACTTTTGAACAAATCTGTTACGTTCCGGTTTGATTTTCCGGTTCTAATATTAATTATTAATAATATTCCAGTAACTCCTGAAAATTATTTGGTGAAGAACCACCCGAAGAGTGTAAATTCATGAAAGAATCAAATCCAGAACTCTACGTAGCCTCAAGGCAAACCCAGACATGAGCGCAACTCCGTGCGTAAAAACGCAAAAAAAAAATTAAACCTCCCTGAGTTCGGTGAGTTAATCCAGCCTCCTTGTTTTTAAATTACAGGTGCTGTTAAAACTTTTGGACCCCTTCACTCCCGAGCTTTGGACCCTCTCCTCCCTTCGCTCACCCCGTGGTCCTCCCTCCTCGCCGCCCTCCCTCCTCTCTCCCCACCTTTAGGCCTACCTCGGAGCTGCGGGCTGCGTCACGTGTTTCTCTCCCGTACAAAATTTCCAGTAGGAGAGCGAGTAGGAGCACACCCATATCAGCAATTATCAGCGACAGTAACTATCTGCAGATACATCGAGGAGAAGAGGAGCGCTGCAGTGATCCGGGACCCCCCTGAAGAAACGGACACTTTGGTTACAGTCGTCTCCGATCGTTGCGCGCAACTTTTACGCACAAAAAAAACCCCGAGATTTTTTGGAAAAGGCTCCGCGGTGCTGCTCCATCGTCTGTGTCTGCCTGCGCGGAGTGACAAAGTTTGCCCACTGCGCTCCTCTATAGAGGTTTGGACTGCTAAAGGACCGGACTGCTTTATCACCCGACCGTCCTTATCTGGTGAGATAATGCACTGAGAGCCCTTGGAAATAAATTGTGTTCCTCCTGTACGTAGCGGAGAGCTTTTATCAACCTTTTTTTATGTGATTTGAGGCTATTGATAGAAAATATACGCACGACAGATACGGAGCGGGGCTCGCTATCTGCTGCCTTGTTTGATTTGGTTTCCGTTACAGTTATGATTTAATGAGGCAGCAGGATATGTGGGGTCGCTGATAGTCGCCTCTATCTGCGCGCACAGATATCAGCGATTGTTAATGTCATTTTAATCCGTTTCGTGTCAGTCAGAGTTGATAGCACACCGCTGAAATATGACTGATGATACGAGAACTTTTCCTTCTCGTCGTGCCGTGCGTCGCGGATAAAAATTAAAACCTTGTTGTTGTTGTTTTTTTAATTTTCGCGCAGTAATGTTGGCTAACAGGATGGATAAAATCACTGCCAATGCAAAAAGTCAGTCACCTTTGGAACTTTTTCGACTGTCAAATATATTAAAAATGTGTTTCTGAATATTTCTTTCTCAGGGCAGGAATCTCCGCAGTTATTACCATCAAAAAGGGAACAGAGAAGTTCATCAGGAGACGCTGGACGAAGCTTTACGCGTGGACAGAATCACCCCAGAATCCAAACAGTCTCCTCTGTGATTTCCAGTTTCCACAAAGGACCTAAAAATTCGTGAAAATGTATCAGAGTCTGGCCTTGTCCTCCAACCAGTCCCCGTACGCGCACGACGGCGGGAATTACATCCACCCCTCCGCCAGCTCTCCGGTCTACGTCCCCACCACCAGAGTCCCGGCCATGCTGCCCACGCTGCCCTACCTGCAGACCTGCGACTCGCCCCATCAGTCCCACGGCCTCGGCGGACCCCACGGCTGGCCTCAGACCGCCACGGACGGCTCTTCCTTCACGGCCAGCAGCCCTCATCCTTCTCACGGATTCTCCTACTCGCACGGCTCGCCGGTCAGCACCAACACGGGCCGGGACGCCGCCTACCAGAGCCCGCTGGTGCTGGGAAACGGCGCCCGGGCGGATCAGTACGGAGGCGCTCTGGTGCGCTCTGTTGGAGGCTCCTATTCCAGCCCGTACGCGTACATGAGCCCCGAGATGGCGACGTCCTCCTGGACACCGGGACCCTTCGAGAGCGGAGTGATCAACCTGCAGGGCCGGCAGGGCGGGCTGTCTGGGAGACGGTCCAGTCTGGGTAAGAACGGACCGAAAACCCCTTAAAGCCAAGTTGGGTTTTAGGTTTTATGGGAATAATCCTGAAAAGAAAGAAGCATTTTTAAATAACATGATTTTATTCTAGTGCTGCGTTGCGTAAAAACACGGATAAAATAAAACAGCTCTTATTTTTTTAGAACCCTCCTAAAACCGTGGATTTATTTTTAATATGTGCGTTTATTTTATTAATTTCCAGCGATTTTAAAAGAACAAAAACTCCCATGAAGGCGTTTTCCTGCAAATGCTGTAAATGATAAAGTGATCAGGATTTTACTTTGACTTTTAGTCTTAAAAAAACACCAAATACGAGTCAGGAATGGAATTAAATTCTGTTTTCTAACCGCCTTAATTCACCTTTTTATTGTTGGAATAAGCACAGATGTATAATTTAGAACATTTCTGGTTGTTGTAACTCTGAGAGCAGCTCGGCTCTTATCAGACGAGCTGTTATTTATTACAGGAGGCTGCGACGGCCACAGATTGAATCAAAGTCCTCTAAACAATCGCACATCACAGCCAAACAATACACATTCTTCAGAGAGAGGAGCCGCGAGAAACGATCAATTAGAATGTTAATTCAATCTGATGACGCGCTGATCAGTTGTCACCTGGATCAGACGCTCACGGTTCGCTCCTCAGCCTCTCTCGCACCTCCAGTAGAAACCTGTCAGGTACAAGAAATCTCATTTTGTCCTTTAATTAACGAGCGATAGCTGCTCCTTAATTAACACACAGACGGGCTCAGCAGTGAGGTCGGTTTACATCATTATCATGTTAATTTTATATAAAGAAAACAATCTGACATAATCTGATCATATATAGAATGGACTGGACTGGAGTGATGCAAACATATTTTTTTTGCATGAGTTATGAACATATTTTAACTTCTCTTGGCCTCCTGAGCAGAAATCTGTTGTTTGGCCCAGACAGGTACAGGTTCTACTGAAAGGGTGTTCACAGAAGACAAACAGTTTTTTGGTTTTGTTGTTGTTGTTGCTCTTATGGGCTTCTGACTTCTAGATCAAAACACAAAAATGAGATAAAAGAAGACTCAGGTTTTAGCTTTAATTTACTGCTTTTAAAATAATAAATAAATCATTTTTTTCATACTGAAAACCGAGACTGAGGTGTAAACAATCACTTATTTCCATTATAATCAATCCACCAACACAGTATTTAAATGTGTTTTTATCATATTTTGATCTGAAATCCTCCAAATCATCACTTTAATTCCTTATTTCCCCTAAAACCAACCAGCACTCTGCATTCAGGAGCTAAAATAGTGAAAATGTTGATTCATCTATAAGCTGATTAACTCTTTTTTTTTTTTTTTTACCATTTAAAACAAAAAACAAAAACAAAAAAACAACACTGCCAGTGTCTCAGGTGTGATATTTCCTCGTGTTCT